GGAAGAAGATGCTCAATACCCTGAGCCCGGATCGCTGAGCGGAATCGCAGAGAAGCAAGACCGATACAAATCCACGAGAGCTGGTTTGAGACACCGACGATATTCTGCAGCCAAGACCACAACTGTCCAGCGCCGATATAGCTGGCACCGAAGCAGAGACCGCTAATCACGGATGTTGCAAGGACGGCCACCCACGGAACATGAAAACGGTTGAGATGACCAAAGAATTTGGGCGCATACCCATCGACTGCAAGAGTGAATAGAAGCCGAGATCCGGCAAAGAGGGCATGGTTCGCAGCTGAAATGACGGAAGTCATGATGACGGCGTTGATGAAACTGCCAGCAACTGCGGAACCGGCTTGCTGAAAGACGATTGTGAAGGGGCTGGTCTTTGTGTCACCATCTGAGAGACCGGGGTAGTCATATGGTACATTGAGGCCCACAATGAGAATTGAGAGAAGGTAGAAAAGAAGAATACGCCAGAAGACGTTGCGGACGACTTTTGGCATTGTTTTCGCAGGGCTTTTGGTTTCACCAGCTGTGATGGCAATGGATTCGGTGCCGCCGCTGTTTTATTGTTAGAATGAAGCTCATTTAGCAAAAAAGAAATGATGAGATGGGGTTACATACTATGCGAAAGATGCTGTGACGAATACTGATGCAAAGCCACCGATTCCACCAACGAAGGGTGCGTCGCCTTTGTGCCAATATTTTCCGCCGATGTACTCGTGGTCTGTATTTCCACCGCAGTTCACGGCAATACCAAGGATGATGAAGATCTAGAAAGCGAATTAGCTAGGCATACGGATGTTTTATTAAGGGATGGCACTCACAATGATGGTAACAACTTTGAGTAAACTCAACCAGTACTCAACCTAGATAAGAACGGTCAGATCAAGTGCAATAGAGTGGAAGTCATCTACACATACCTCACCATAAACCTTCACAGATAAGACGTTCAATGCAATGACAACAACCAAAAATATTAGACTGATTGCCCAACCGGGGAAATTATCCGTCCAATACTGCAACAAAAGCTGCAAAGCAATGATATCCGATGCAGTAGAAACAGCATCATTAAACCAATAATTCCAAGTCAATGCGAATCCAAGCGCATCATCCACGAAACGACTATAAAACAAGTCAGCAACCATCCGGTCAAAACAAACTCAAGGAATACTCACCCAGCATAGGTACAGAAAGATCCAGCAACTGGCATAAAAGCCGCCATCTCACCAAGACACAACATAGTGATAAAGACGATACCACCACAGATAGCGTATGCAATAAGCGTTGAAGCAGGCCCACCCTTAGCGAGTGACGATCCCGTTCCGAGGAACAAACCGGTGCCGATAGTACCACCAATCGCGATCATCTGCACCTGACGTCCAGACAAGCGGCGAGCCAGCTTGTCTGCGTTGACAAATGGGTTTGTCTGGTAATCATCGCCTGTTGTGCCTGGAGCCTTGGAGGACTCTGCTCCTGGCTGTTTCTCGATATCGGCCATGATGTGGAGATTGAGATGGATACGAAAGTATCCTCTAACTTTGTGTTAGTACAATATATTATAGATACATATATAAAAAAAAAAAAACGGCCGAATCATGCAATATCACCACTCACCTGTCCTTGGTACGTTGTATGTACTGAGATGTTCCAGCCCTAAGTCGCGTGACCCACACTTGGTAACTAACTAGTCGCACCAAATTATATTTGAAACATGGACCCTGAACAATCAAAATAAAGAGATAGCATAGATACAAAGAAGGAAAAAAAAGCCCACCAGAAGACTTTTATTCCTCGATGGCGTGATTGAAGCCATCGATGAGTGGACGGGGGCCGAACCGTGCGAATGCTACGTTATGTGTCAAGGAAATATCCGCTCCCCACATGCCAATTTCCAAGGTTGGGGTTGGAGTGCCGATTTTATAGTTTGATAGGCGCACATGTGGTTTAGACACATGGCTTGTAGAGCTTATTTAGACATCTATGTTCTATCCCATATGTGCTAAATGCTATATGTGCTATACATGTTTAAAATTATCGCTTTCATATTCACTATGCTTTTAAACCTCGCCGAGAAAGAGATTTTTTTTAGTTGGAAAATATACGCCATAAAAGACCTCACAAACCCATGAAACAATCCATGAAATGTACATTAACCAAGCAACCCACTGGCCAAAGCCTCCAGATCTCCCAGAGTCTCGATAGGCTTGACAGAAGGCTGGCTCTTCTTGCTCTTGGGCTTGTCGTCGTCGCTGTCTGGCTCGGCAAAAGAAACACGCTGCTTCTTGCTGGGTCGGGGCTCCTCGCGCTCGGAAGCAGAGTCTGAGTCGGAGCCAGGGATCTCGAAAGGCACATGGGGGAGATGCGAGAGACCGCCTTCCTCCTCCGACATATCGGCCTCGGCCTCGGCACGCTCGCGCGCCTTGCGCTTCTCCTTCTTCTCGCGGCGCTTCTCGCGCATAACCTCCTTGTCCTCGATATCGGCCTGGCGCGTGCGCTCTGTCTCCTCCTCGAGGAACTTCTCGCGCTGGGCGTTGGCGTCGCCGCGGGCCTTGAACGCGTCTTCGTCTTCCATTTCGTACACCTCGTGGGCATTGCCCTCGTCGTCGTAGACCAATTTTGTACCCTTGCCCTTGAACTTGAGGAGCTTCTTCTTCGACTTGAGCAGCTTCTCGCGTCGCTTCGAGTCGATGAGTAGTGGGTCCTGGCCGTCCAAGTGCACCATCTTGACGCCCTTGGCGTCTTTGGTCTTTGACTCGGCATCGGAATCCTCCGAGTCGGAAGAATCGCTGTCCTCGCCGAGCTCTGCGTCGCCTGCGGCGAAGCGGCGCTTGACTGAGAGGAAGTCGGCATCCTCGTCGGCCTCGTCGTCGATCGCTGCACCGGCATCCTTGGGGGCGTCGGTAGCCACCATCGTGCCATCGTCGTTGATGAGCTTCGAGTAGTGCTCCGCCAGCACGCCCTGGTTGCGTCGCTCGAACATACGGTCGTACCGTGTCCGCACCTCCTTCTCATCCTTCTTCTTCTTCTCTGTTTCTGAGTCGTCATCACCGGACATCTGTGCCATTCTCCAGGATTCGTTCTTCCGCTCCTTCGCATCGTCACCCTTGATGAACTTAATACGCGGAGCACCGGGAAGACCCAGACTGGCAGCATACTCTTCCAAGGGAAGTTCCTTGATCTTAAAGGTCTCCTTGTCCTTTTGCACGTAGATCGACTTAACGTAAGAGATGAAAGCTTTCTGGCCCAGATACTTCAGCTCCGGATCCTTGAAACACATATTTTGCAGCTGATTCTTCACACTCTGCTGCTTGTTCGATTTGATGTTGATCTTCTCAATGGGTACCTTCTTGTGCTCAAGCTGCTTAAGGAATCCCTTCTCCTCGCTAGGGTCCAAGAATAGCACGGCACGACCGACACGCTCGTAACGGGCCGTCCGTCCGACACGATGAATGTAGGTATCGGCGTCTTCGGGGCAGTCCATCTGAATAACCCAATCAACAGCGGGGAAATCCAGACCACGAGCAACAACATCAGTAGCGAAAAGAACAGCGTGCTGGGCTTGAGAGAACTTCGTGGTGATATCCAGTCGTCCTCCTTGTTTCTGTCGCCCGTGCAGATGGAGCAAAGAAATACCAGGCTGCAATTGTCTTAGTGATTCGAATACGTAGCGAACTTGCTTGCCCGATGACAAGAAGACCACTGTCTTAGATTTGAGGTTGCTGCGAATGAAACTCCAAAGGGTATCAAGTTTCTGCGGGAGTGGAGTAACGGTGTAGTGTTGTTGGAGAGTTGAGGGAGTGGCGGAGGCGGCTGCTTCGTGGACTGAGACATATTCGGGGTCCTGCAGACTCAAACGAGCCAAATCACCGACCTTCTTGGTCTGTGTGGCACTAAATAACATAGTCTGGCGCTGTTTGGGGAGATGGTCGAGGATAGCATCCACGGTCTTCTGGAAACCCATGTCCATGATACGATCGGCTTCGTCCAGCACCAGCATCTGCAAGTTATTTGTCTCAAACATAGCCGTCTGATCCAAATGTTGCAACATGCGACCGGGTGTGCAAACCAGGATGTTCATACGCCCCAGACGATCTTGTTCCTCGCGCAGACTCTTTCCGCCGATAATCAATCCAGCAGAGAAATTGTGATATCTTCCGATCTTGCGAAGCACCTCAAAGATTTGAATCGCCAGTTCACGTGTAGGCGAAAGAACTAGTGCGCCGAGGCCGTCCAACTCGGTCCACTTCTTGCGATAGAGATTCTCGAGAATGGGTACTAGAAAGGCGAGGGTCTTTCCGCTACCAGTTTTGGCGGCACCGAGAATATCGCGCCCCTTGAATGCATGGTTGATAGCACGCGATTGAATGTCGGTAAGGGTTTTGAAATGAGAGGCTGAAAGACCCTTGGCTGTTGGTTCGGAGAGTGGGAGATCGGAGAAGTTTTTGACGGGAGCTTTGAGATCGAGGTCCTCGACCTGTTTGACGAGGGTAGCTAAGCTATCCTCACCACGCTTTCTTTTCAAGACCCGCCCTGTGTCCTGGTGAGTCTTTGACTTCCCTTTAACTGCTCGCGGCGCCATGATGTGGTTTGAGTTGAATCTTGAAAGTTAGCGGGCGGTGAAAACATCTTTTTTTTCTTCTTGGGACGAAAAACGAAGGCGGTAGGTAAAGCGGTGAGGAACAAACAGGTGCATATGAGATCTATACTATAGATCCTTTGATGTCTTGAGCTTATTGGTGGTCCCGTCTAGTATGGAATATCTGATATTCTTTTGGGCTCACTACATGTGTTCCAGCAAAGCCTCATCAATGACAGACATAAGCGGACGACTACTGTTATGTGTTCCTAACTGCAACCTTAACCTCGGAGGCCCTGCGCGCGATTTCGCGCTGACTCAGCGGCTGATAAGCCCGCGGTCTTATCTTATTTGAGGTCTCAATCTCATGAGCGCCAAGAGCATTTCTACATCAAAAGAATCCCTAGAAGCCAATATGTCGGACGACGACCAGGATTTCCTCGACTCTCTAGAAAAAGAGGCCACCGAGTATAACAAGGTATGCCCCCTGTACAAGGTATACATCTATACTCAGACTGACACGCGACACAGGATGTCGAGATCGACCGCATTCGCAAGGCATTCAGCCTCGATTCGTAAGTCCAATCTTCCACAAGCTCTGCAATAGCCTACCGCCCTTCTATATTCTCTACCGATATTAACCCATTACAGTTACGCCGTCCTAGACCTCCAACCCGGTGTTACGGAAAAAGACATCAAAGTCCAATACCGCAAGATCTCGCTTCTCATTCACCCTGATAAAACCAAGAACCCCGCTGCTCCAGATGCCTTCGATCGACTCAAGAAAGCACAGACAGCTCTTCTAGACGAGAAGCAACGCGAATACCTAGACGAATGTATCTCCGACGCGCGCCGCCTGTTGATCCGTGAACACAAATATACACTCGACTCCCCCGAGCTGAAGACCGAAGAATTCAAGGTCGAATGGCGGAAGAAGACGGTCCAAGTGCTATTGGAAGAAGAAGCGCGACGCCGGCGACAACTCAAGGCGCGCTTGCAGGAGGAAGGTCGTGAGCAACGGAAGGAAGAGGAAGAGCTTGAGGCGCGCAAGCGGAAGCGCGACAATGACAAGAAGTGGGAGGATACGCGAGAAGAGCGCATTGGTAGCTGGCGGGATTTCCAGAAGGGACGCAAACCTGGTGGTGATGAGAAGAAGAAAAAGAAGAAGATGAAGGTATTGGGCTGATTTGACATTCTTTTTTTTTTCCTCTGAGCGTTGCTGGCGTTTGGGGATTTACTCGTATGAATTGACACGGCCACGGCCGTAATCAAAGCATTTTTCAAGGTGCATTCCGTAAATTGTATCAAGAATTACACATGCGCATGTGTATCCGAGATATCCAAATCTACGAGAATCTACCGAGTTCCACCGAGGAACTGCGGGGAGACGCGGGGGTTCCAGGAATATTCCAATTTTGTTACATCTAGCGAAGTTGAATTGTCTATCTATGTAGGTGTACAGATATATCGACATACATATGCACACATATGCACACATACTTGACATGCGTGATATCCCCGCAGTGGATTAAGTTGTATCTCCCCGAGAAACCCACACCCCGCCCCGAACCTCGCTCTGTCAACCTCACCTCAGCACAAGCATGACTGAACCGACAGCAAAGAACGCGCCTTACCGGCCACAAGATCATCTCAAGCCATTCCCACCACTGTCACCAGCAACATCCCAACCATTGAAACCATCAAGCCCCTCCAATCAAGAAGCCGAGCCGAACCAGAATGGAACAGCCCACACCAACAAACAACCCCCCAATGACTCAACCAGCGACGAAACAATCCCCCTCTCCCAGCCGTGATCGCACGAATCCACGCCCGCGTACAAGCCTTCCTAAACGAATCCCACGCCCCGGACACGCTGCTAGCCTCTGTGCAACGACAAACGCGCATCTCTCTAGAAGTAGTCAGCACCGCGCTGCAGCGATACAAGCTCTCGGAACTCTCCGTCTCCTACAACGGCGGCAAGGACTGTCTAGTCCTGCTGATTCTGTTCCTGGCCGGGTTGCACCCAACCAGCGCCCGCAATGATACGAACCCCTCCCCCGCAGACCTCGAAGCCGAGGCCCAAATAGCCGCTGCGACGGTCATCCCGGCGATCTATGCGCTCCCGCCTGATCCCTTCGATGCAGTCGAAGACTTCGTCGTCTCTTCTGCTGAAGCTTATCATCTCGCTATTACAAAGTACACGACTGCGCCGCCGGATTCGACGCTCCGGTCGAGCTTTGAGGATTATCTGGCGCGTCACCCTGGGATTCGGGCGATATTTGTTGGTACACGGCGGACGGATCCTCACGGTGCGCAGTTGACGCACTTTGATCGGACGGATGGGGGCTGGCCTGATTTTGTTCGTGTGCATCCCGTGATTGATTGGCATTATGCGGAGATTTGGGCGTTCATTCGGCACCTGGGTCTAAAGTATTGTTCGCTCTATGATGAGGGATATACTAGTCTTGGTGGTACATCTGATACCCATCCTAATCCGAGATTGCGGACTGGGGCTCAGGCTGATGGACAGTATCTTCCTGCTTATCAGCTCACGGAGGATCTAGAGGAGAGGCTTGGGCGCAATTGATTTGAATAGTATGGATTATCTTACCTATGTATAGATTGAGATTCATATCTCATTGGCCTTTGCGGATAGATTGCCTTGCATGTTACATTTGTGCTCACTCACCTTGGATCTTGAACATGGACGCCTGCAAGGAGTACTTTTGGTTTTGAATAATATCATATTAGACTGCGCAACCCATTAAGGTGCGATAACGTTCTTCGAACGAAGTCTTGAAACATGCATCTTGTCTGTCAGATATGTTGAAAACATGTAAAGTCCATATAACTGCGAAAGAAAAAGAGCATTTCCCATCCTCCCATCAAACTCCATAAGAATGCAAACCGAACTCCATAATGATATCGTGTAGAGTCGTCTAAAAATGCCGTGAAGTTTCGAAAACAGAAAAGCAACCGAATATCATATCGTGAATCATGAACAATCATAAAAGAAATGCAAGGCTGAGCCATACATCGTCAATACATTCTGCGAATGGTAACAGATGCTGCGCATTTGGATATTCGAGAGCACCCTGGAGCGGTGCTGAACATCTTATCATGTGTGGATAAGATGTTATAAAGCATCCCATGCAAATACAGATATGCGTGAGAGCATTTTACACAACAGGTTTAAGTGCAAGAGCGAGCCGGAGAGAGAATGATCATGGGAGAAGAAGAAGCGGGGGATACAGATCCCGCTCTGATATTCTCTTTACGAGACCCCATAGTCGGCGAGTCCGGCATGACAGTCTTGGAAGAACCACCAGAGAGATCAGTGTAAGAGCGACGGCTCAGGGACAGGGCTCGACTGCGATAGGCGGTCGTGTGGTCAAGAGCGTTGAGGCTCCGAGTCGACAAGGAACTGCTTCGGGCACTGCTTGAAGGATTTTTCATATGTGGGTGGCTGTGAGATCAATTAGAGTGGGTTGAATTAGGACGCAATGTGAGTATTCGGCACATACCAAGGAGAGATCGAGGTTGCTGGGGTCCAGTTAGAGCCCACTCCAGCTGGAGAGGTGTAGCTGACTTGAGAGTTTGGGGTAAGATGAGAGCCACGTTTCATCCCAGGGGATGGAGTAGATCCCTGAACCACTTCAACCGAGTAGTTGTACTCTCCGGCCCGGTAAGCACGACGTTCGTTGCTCTGTTGCTTCAGAATCTTTTGGGCTTTGGTATCAGCAAAGCGCAGAAGCAACTTCACCCCATCGTCCTTGGTGACATTGTGAAATTCCATCAAGACTTGTTCGGCAACATCACGGTTTTCGAAGCTATAAATAAAGTTAAGCCTTCAGTCAGAGCAAGCCATGAGAGTCAAGCAATTTGGGCTATATTACCGTGCGAAGCCCACTTCCTTGCTCACACCTGTCTTCTCATCGCGACTGATTTTCTCCGAAACAACACGCCACGGCTCGAAATGACGACGCAGGTCCTAACAAAATTATTCGAATTGAACTAGAGAGGCCAAGCGTCGGGGTTGTATAACTCACAGCTTCAGTCCAATCGATTGGAATGTTGGTGCAGTATATATTTGTAGAAGACTTGTCCTCCAGGTCCTTCAGGCGAGAGTTGCGAGATTTCTGCGCGAAGCTAGCTTGGTAGCCGAGGTAAAAGAAACCACGAATGCAGTTCTCGCAGGATTCGAAGCTGTAATACTGCACAAAACCGAATCTGCAAAAGAATCAGAATGAACGATCGGAAAGAAAATTCGTGATGCAGGTACCCTTTGCAGAGACTAGTGTCCAGGTCCACGATCGCCTTGCAACGCTCAATCTTTCCGAAACGGGCTGCGTAAGCATGCAACATCTCATCGGTGGTCTCAGGCAAGAATCCTCTGATGTACACATTGGTTATACCCTCGCGGTTCTCCAGACACTTGGCGAGTGTCAACTCGGACGGGTTAGTCCACATGGCAGGCACCGCGCGTGGAATTGCAGGCTCTTGTTGGGTCAGAGCCTCCAAGTCTTGAACGACATATCCGTTTGGAGTCTTCATCATCTGAAGGGGAAGCGAGAGCGACCCAAGCTGCGAGGGAACCATACCTCCATAAGAGTAACCGGACATAGAACTGCCATCCATGCCAGAGACAAGGGCCGAGTGATAGTAATGAATTTGACCAGTGTTCTCTGCCTGGGCTCCCTTCTGGCCATCAGACATATTCCATGTAGCTTGCTTGTTGGTTGTCCCATCATTCATGTCGTAGTTCATCATGTAGGGCCACGACGAATATCCACCAGCCACCACAGGGTTGACGTTCGAATAAACCCCTGTTGGAAGATAAGAGAACTGACCCATCTGATCATTCTGACCAGAGGCACCGTTTGGAACAAAGGATGAGACGGTCGGAACGCCATTGAAAACGGTGGAATTAGGAACCAGGATGAATGGGCTGTTGTATGCACGGTTTGTATTCGACCAATCCATGTTTGCGTTCACTTGAACGGGCGCGGTGCCCTTTGGGCCATTGAACTTGGGACGCGAGTTCTGCAGATTCAATCCTCTGAAAAGATTGGTCAGGCCTGCAACGCTGCTATCACGAGAACTCGGATTGGTGGATTTCTGGTACCTGGGACCATAGGGTGTACGCGGCTCATTTTGGTGGTAGTGTCCAGACTGGGAGCTTGATGTCTGACCAGAGCCAGAGCCAGAGGAGCTCGTTTGCTGGGAGCCCTGGGCATGCATGATCAAAGGCGTACACTAGAGATCGATTTTGTCAGCCGGCTCTGTGGAGTTGACAGACAGGGCAAAGAAAAAGGGCTTTATGGGCAGTCCCTTTGGCCTCCATTTGGCAAAACGCCCCAATGAAATGGGCTTAATAGCATAAAACTGACCTGGGCAAGCTCCTGCACCAAATTATATAGGCAGTTCTGACAAGAAAGTCCGGCTGCTGTTCAAGCATGCCAGGGTCAGCCAAAGCGGAGACTGGGAGTATAGTCGAACATGACCAAAATTGAGGGGATGACTTACCTGTCGTCGAGGATGCAACCTGCCGCCTGTTCTCTCAGGCTGCAAGGCGTCTGATGATAACTCGAAGCGAAGACCAGGTACGTGGGGATGGGGTATACGGCAACGAAAGTCTGGACGGTCTTGGAATCGAAGATGGGATAAATGGGCCAGGACGAAACCGATGGCAAAGAAATGGAGGATAGGGGGATAGGATGGGGATGGATGGAAAGATGAGATGGAGGGAAAATTCCTAAGAAGAAAGAATGGTAGACCTTGCAAGGCAAGAACGTAACAATAGGAAGAGAAGGAGCTATGGGAGAGATTTGGTTTGGGGAGAAAAGGTGAATGGAAGTCACGGGGAGATACAGTTATATACGTGTACCTAGAAACTATATAATATCAACTGATATTGGAATATTGTCCATGCTCTGAAGACATAGGAACACAAATTGGAACCCCTAGACTTGATTCCATTGAGAAGGAGAATGCTAAATTGCAATTTTATGCCCTGAAATCCACATCTATGAGAACGAGCAGTAGGTACTGAGTTGAGGGAGATATCCAAAGAAAAGGAAGTACTCAGGGGACTTCACTCCAAAAGGAAAGAACTTATTGAGACTTCTCCTGCAACCACTTGTAAACCACGGAGAAATCCTTACCACGGTGCTCCTCCTCAACAGCCTTATAAACCTCACGAGCCTGGGCACCCAGAGCGAGAGGAGTATTAGACTGCTCCGCAGCCGCAAGAGCTAAACGGAGATCCTTGTGCATGAGACTCACACCGAATCCGCCCTCATAGCCACGCGATGCGGGGGCTGTCTCAACGACACCAGGAACGGGATTATTAACCTCAGAGGGCCAGCAACGACCAGTAGACGAGTTGATCATTTCCGCCAAGGCCTTAGGCTCGAGTCCCCAGCGAACACCGAGGTTCATAGCCTCGGCAGTGGCGATATTATTCAGGGCCAAAATGTAGTTATTGGCGAGTTTGCCGGACACACCAGCACCAGGCTCACCAAGATGCCAGGCCTTCTTACCCATCAAAGCGAGCACGCCGCGGATACGCTCAAGCAATTCGCCTGACTGTGAAGAGGCGCCGAACATGAATGACAGCGTTCCTGCGCGGGCACCAACCACACCTCCTGATACGGGGGCGTCCACAAAGCGGCCAGTTTGCGTGGTGTGGATTGCGTTTGCGATATCCTTGGATGTGACGGGGTCAATGGTGGATGCGTCGATGAAGAGACGCTCCTGCTCGAGCGGTGGCAGTGGCCCATGTTTAAGGATAGAGTGGAACACGTCGATGACATGCTGAGACTCCGGGAGACTGGTAACCATGACTATCTAAATGGTAGATAGAAATTAAGCATAATCCATGTAGAAAAGCCTAGTGACTAGCACGGCCGCAGGCTAGAACCACACGGTAGATAACCACTTACCGATTTCTCGGCGACCTCGCGCGCATTCTGAGCGATCTCGACTTGGCCTTCATTGGCGCCTGCGCCATTGCTTTGTGCGGTCTCCTGGGCCTCTGCAACGAATCTTTTCATAATATCTTCATTGACATCACGCACAATCAAGGTATCAGATGCGGGAATCTTGGCGCGCAGGTTTTTGGCCATATGGTAACCTAGAGTAGTTAGCTAATGCAAATGCAATACAAACAACCCACGGTCCATCGTATAGCCGAGGTTGCGTATCCGAGGTCCTCGCCGTAGATCTCACAACATACCCATTTGCCCCAGTCCGATAAAGCCCCACGTCGCATCACGGTGCATAGTTGTGGAGAAAGCTCGGGCCTGGCTGGACGGCCAGCGTCGGGGATCCACTGCGGACGCATGGAAGCAAGTCGCCCTCCGTGGGAGGGACATAGCCGTTCGGAGACTCATTTTTCGATAAATTCGAAGGGCTGCCTGATTTTGGAACGAAATGGTAAGTGACAAGTGTTAATACGTGTAGACAATGATGGTTGATGGGCCAACAATGCCGAGACCAAGGGGGCAGAGCAAATGTTTGATTGTTTTGAATCCAGGAAAGCTGAAATGGGGAGAAGGGGGTATTTAAAAGAGCTAGGATGTACTATGGCAGTTCCGCATATCCTTTAACCGTGGCTATCCGAAATGCTAGGGAGCGAAATGGATATGCATCGCAACAGACTGAAATGCGGGGAAGACCGGATTAGGAAAGCCGTGGGGAATTGCATCACGTGCTATGTGTGGGGTATAACCTTGGAAGTACTGAAGTTTTGATCTGGTCAATGTATCTATCTCCATGGATGTTGAATCTTGAATGAAAGGTAGCCTCTAGAAAAAGATTCTAAAAAGCACTTCCAAATCCCGACCAGAGTGCTGCCCTTCGCAAAGGTGACTGAAATTGAGCATAAATGCAAATATATAGACTTTGATTTTGAAATGCAAAACACCTATATGTAAGTCCATCAACTTCTAGATATGACTATATGGACTATACAGGATGCAGAGGTACGGATCAACGCTAGATAGACAAGACCAATGGCGAAGTAGATGGATGAGTAAAGGGTATGTATGTAAAGTGATCCAAACTCCCAAGAAATGCGCAGGCAGCCTGGAAAAAGGCTGACAACAGAAAAGAACAAGCAAAGCAAAGCAAAGCAAAGACGTATGATGGGGTTCGGGGAAATGCAGTAATTTCACCTCGGTGATGTCGGGTGACTGGTAGGTGCTGAGAGATATTCCTCGGGTACCTTTGGAACACGGGGTGAGTTGGCTGTTTGCACAATGGCGCGGTGTTGCGCGCGGAGGAGGTCCCGCTGTCGCTCCTTTTCTCGGTTGGCTGCGCCACCAGTCAGCCTCCTCATACCACTGCGAATCATTGATTCTATCGAGTGTGGTCCATCGGTTGCACTGCGGATCATGGGCGCAGGCGGAGTGATGGCCTTCTTGGTCACCGGGCGCTCCTCTAAATCGGAATGCACCTCGTCAGGATCTTCGTCGGAGAGGAAAGCGGAATCGCTGAATCCAGCGGGCAGTGTGGAATTGGGTGCATTGGAAGCGGTGTGAACATAGAGATTGTTGGCAGGGGAGGTGACAGAGCGGGTATGGGAACCGGACCGTAGTATCTGTGAGCCGTTTGGAGGTATCGCCGTTACCGGGGAGTACACACCCGGACCATCGAAGCGGAAATTTGGCGGGCGAGACTCAGCGAGTCCATTATGGAAGGATGATGTAGAGCCTGTCCGAGCGAGTGATTCCCGCAAAATTGGGGCGGTCTGCTGGTCATACAGATGTGCGTTGGTATCCACATAGTTACCAGTGAATCCTCGCAGCATCGGAGGAGCTATAGGGTTCAACACAGGGGTGATTGTATCGGTATCCTCGAAAAAGTCATCTAGGCTGTCCAACTTCTGCACAATATCTCCCATATTGCCATCAATCTGTGTATCGATTGATTTCATGGTATCAGCTCTCATTGGGAAGAACGAGTCGCTGTATTCGTCCGCATGGAAGGCCACACCGGGTGTCATGGCATCGTCCTGTTGTCTGTCTTCGGCCTCAACACATGTGTAGAAGACAGCGTGGACGTTGTGCCGGGTCATGTTTGACTGGGTTGCAGGCATAGGGACTGACCATCCCGTCGGTTCTGGAATTCCGTATAGACTCTGGATTCGCTCGTACTCCTTGCGGATAGCACGAGAAGAGGCTGCTGATGCCATACTCATCCGAAGATGTTGGCGCTCCATTGGGTTACCTGAGACAGTGATAATATGGTCTAGAACCTCCAGAGCCTGAGGGCAGAGATCGGTTTGTAGAAGCCGGAGTAGTGGAGAGATCAGGTCTGGGCCATGGCAGGTGACCTCATTACGCCGCATGTCCACCTCGGGAATCAAGACACAGAGGATCCTCATTGTTTTGATCCGGAACCAATCCGTGGTATTAGTGAGAAGTCCCATGAGGAAGATGAGACACTGGAAGTCCAGCTTGGGGAAGTAGTATGACTTGATCTCAGTGATGATGTGGTCGAGGAACACTCCGGCGGTCTTGTACTGCTGGTTGGCAAACCCAAACAACGATGCTGCAAGGCGGGGGCATCCCTCATTCTCAGCCACGCGGGCAAGTATGCTGGCACGAGCGATAGGTTTGGGGTCACTGAATCCTTCCTTGAAGCATTGAAGGAAGTGGGGTAGGTTGGCCAGCACAGTGAATAGATGTCGAGTTCCATCTCCGATAAGACCATTGTTTGGAAGACCACTGAGAGTATGGAGTAGATCGAGTGTACGATCAAAGGACTCGGACGATTTCATTCCCTTGAAGACAAGGTCCTGGAGACCGTCAAATCCACCTTCCCAGTTTGGTGGTTGACCCTCGATAAGGTTGGCCACCACGACCGGATCACTGAGATCGACCCGGTCAAGGAATTTCTCAAGCATGCCAATACTCTCGATAAACTCAGTCTCGTGGATTGTGTTGAGACAAGCACATGTCGTCCAGAATAGCTGAGGATAATCAAGAAGGTCGGATGGTGCTAGTGAGCTAATGATGATCTTTAACGTAGTAAGAATCTCCATTGAGAATGTCTGGTAGTCCGTTTCCTCGTCTGCGATAGTGTTTGAAAGCCGAGCGAGCATATCAGCCAACATTCGCGAGTCTAATGATGTCGAGATACAGCGGAAGATCTGGAACGAGCGGCATGCCAAATGCCGCACTGGACACGAGGTAGCCCAGTTCAATGCCTCCTTGGCCCATAGGTCGCCAATGCCTTCGTAAGCGAAGCTAAAGAACTTGACGACATCACGGGTGACTGAGGCCATAGCTGCAGGCACCCGGCGATCATCGATCTCTTCCTCTTTGCCATGATTCTCTTCATATTCCCAAACGACTGCGGGATCGCTCTTACGTATTGATTCCACGAAATCTTCAACGGATTGCCGGGCACCCACCGGGGCGTCGTCCTCAAGCTTCGCCGCTATCAATTCATGGATAAGATGTACCAGCATCTCACGAGCTTGCTCCTGCACAGTCACTGTATAATGGTCCCAGAGAATGAGAACGATATGGATCAGCTTGACAACATCACCCAGGGCGAGAGTCACCGGAGCAACCATCAGATCGACGAGGAATATGAGGGCAACCTGTCCAAGGGATAGACCAGCTTGTTTGTTTCCGACAGGGAGCACTGTACCAAGGTCTGCAACATATGGCAGGCTTTTGATATCAGGAGGGGGTGGAGTAAGTTCTTTCCGCTCTTGCACCATGTTCTTTGGCACAACCTGCAACAAGAAAAATTCGATGACTTTCGATCCTGCTGGAGTCCCAGACAAGAAAACGACCATTTGCTTAGCATACTCCACAAAGTTTTGCTCTTTGCGTTCTAGGCAGATGCTGATGATAAAATCAAGGACTAGCTGTACATTGCCACCGTGAGGGCCTGTTGCCAAGGCCTGCCATAGAGCTTGCACTTGGTTAGGCAGGACTGTACTGCAACGAATAGTTATCTCAAAGAGGTTTGCGAGCAACATGTATGACTTGGCTGTAGGGCCGCCATTCGGGTCAACCTGTAGCTCCATTGTTTGAACCCATGGCAGGATGGCAGCAACCATATTTCGCTGGCTATCAGGTCGAAGACTGCGGAAATGCAGAGAAAACTCCGAAAAGATAGTGAATGCCAAGTCAGAGTGCTGGCTAGCTAATCTTTTCGAGATTTCGAACTGGGCTAACTTGTATACCGCGGTAGTCTTGTCCGAGATACTGATATCGAAGTCTTGCAGCCTGGAGTTCTTCTGTTGACGCTCCTCGAGTTTCCGAAGAAGCTTAGCAGACTTCATTCGGATCTCACGCTTTTCGTTGCCCAGTGTCACCAAGACTGCCCCTAGAACCCTCCAGAATTCGAGCGGATAGTCTGGATATTCGAAAAGCACCTGCGTCACCACCTCGAAGTAGCTCTCGATAGTCTTGGGTCGCTCAGTAACGTAGCACATCTCTATTGATCGCTCCATTAGATAGGAATGTTCCTGGTTGTGAATGATGAGGTTCTTGAGCGCCCGGCGGCCGATGGCATGCCATTTATCACTGACGGTGTTGAAGATCATTTCAATCCATGAAAGCATGCGGGTAACATCAAATTGGAGCACAGAACCGCTTTCGGTGGTGATGCTGATGGGGCCAGCACACAGAAAAGCCATTGCACTCAAGGCTGCTGCGCGGAGATTCTTCTTCTCAATTTCCATAGCAGCAGCGGTGTTTTTCATTTCACCTGTCTCATGTGGTCGGGCCATGGAGAACTTGCGCATATTCTCTTCTCTTTCAGAGATTTGAGACTGGTTTGGAGAGTATCCACACCAGTCCTCCATAAGAGAGAAAGCAGACTTCCGCGACTCGAAGGGCATCCAGCGAGCAGGATCCTTGGTACGGTTGATGCCTTCAAATATTTCCTCCATCAGTCCGCAAAAATGGAACCGCAAGCCTTGGAATTCCCAGTCATTTTGAACCTCAGCATCACTAAGGAAAATACGAATATCTTTTGCGTATGTGACAAGGTTGTTGACGATCCAGTCGTCATTGTAAACCTCGGGCTCCTGAAGGAAGTGAGACGTAAGTTTGTAAACGTTTGTGACCTCGGTGCGCAGGCGATCGGTCTTCCTGTTTCGACGGGGGCTGCTGGGGCTGCGGTAGTGGTTGCCAATTCTCATCTTAGCCTCTTCATTGCAGGTAGTAACAGCGTACTGCAAAGACTCAAGAAGCGTGCGATAAAGGTTTTTGTGAATTGAGCCCAAAGCAACAACAATAGCGCTGCGAATGGAATCCCGTTCAGCAGAAAGGAGAGGAATAACAAACGCGAACAGACTTCGAGCAGAGCTGATCTTATCTTGAGACTGGTGTGCTCCTTTCGAAGCTTTGCGTGCATGCTGGGCATT